CCGTGCCATGCTGCACCGTGCCATGCTGCACCGTGCCATGCCTGCCGTGCCACACTGTGCCGTGCCATGCTGCACCGTGCCATGCTGCACCGTGCCATGCCTGCCGTGCTGCACTGCGCCGTGCCCGCCGTGCCCACYGTGCCCCCCGTGCCGCGCCGCGGTACCTGCTGAGCCGTGCTGCGCTTCTGACTGACCGCTGCCAGGTAGCGCAGGATCAGCTTGGTGGCTTCCGTCTTCCCCGAGCCGCTCTCCCCACTGAACCAGGGGGCAGAGGAACAACCACGGCTGTCACCAGGCGGGCAGCRGGTTTGGGGAGCACCCCCACCCCGAACATGTCCTTCCTGAGCCCATCCAGGCCCAGCGTGTCCACCTTGGGAGCACCCATGCCAATCCCACCTCAAATGCGCCCATCCCAATCATACATTGACCCTGAACATGTTCATCCCAAGCACGTCCAGCTCAAATGTGCCCATGCTGAGCATTTCCAACCTGAGTTTRTCCTCATTTATCCGAGCACATCCCATTCAAGAGCACCAAACCCAACCCATTCCAACCCCAACCCCACTGGGGACTGGGATGCGCTGGCAGGGGATTAGGTTGATAATCCCAAGGACACCAGCTTGGCAGCCCGGAGGGATGCCAGGCAGGAGAGGGGTGCGCAGGGGCACAGGCGCGTGCGGGCGTCAGCTCCCTCTCACCTGATGACGATACACTGGTTGTGTTTGGCATCCATCATTCTACTGTAGGCAACGTTTGCAATCGCAAAGAGGTGCCTGCGGGGCAAAAAAAATGGTACGTGGGGAGCAAGAGGTGTCGTGGTGGCAATGCCAGCACCAAGAGGCACCCAAGCATGGAGAGAATGGAGAGGGATTGAGRGGGAATGAGAGCGTGGCCAGGGCTCCCATGAGGAGCCGGGTGGACAAGGGTGGGAGCTGGGGCCAYGCGGGAGCCCCTTCCCGCAGGGTGTTTGGGGGCACCCTGGTACTCACGGCGGGTTCTCGCCCAGCGCCCTGCCCTCGTACTGCAGCACCTGCTCCGTGCCGTAGATGTTGTACAGCCGGTAGGGATTGACGGAGACCAGGATGCTGCCGATGTAGGTCTGCAGAGGCAGGGAGAGGGGGCAGGTCTGAGCAGCACTCCCCAGCGAGGGGGAGGATGGTGGGCCCCTCCGGGACACGGTGCACGCCAGGGACGGCACTGCGGTCCCCAAGGCCCCGCAGCCCCGCGCGCGGGGCACTCACGTAGATGAGCTGGCGCTCAAACCGCGTGCGGATGTTGCTCAGCACGGCGGCTTCCTGGAGGTCCCTGACGTGCAGCAGAGGCGACATTACAGGACCATGGAGGACAAGCGGCTTCTGCTGTCCCCGAGCAGGTCCCTGCCAGTCCCCAGCCACCCAGTGGGAAGCCTGGGCTGCCACGGGCTCAGGAGCCAACGCTCTTTGTCCCAACGCACGTTTTTCCCAGCTGGTGCATACAAGGTGTTTCCATCCCCTTCCCACCATCCCGCCAGCAGGACCGGGTCCCACCATGGCCGGACAGGGTCCCGGTTGGCAGCCACAGGGACACACGGGGACTCACTCCAGCTGGGTCATGTCCTCCAGCCCGTCCTCCTCCTGCTGCTCCTGGTAGCGCACGATGGGCAGGCTGCAAAGGGACTGCATCTGCGCGGAGCAAGGCGGGCGCGGGCAGCGTCGGGGCACGGCCGGGCACCCCGAGCGGCGCCGAKCGGCCCCCTGCGCACGTCACCGCAACGACCTCCAAACCAGCAGGTCTGAGCCCAAACTGGGAACCTCAGAGCCACTGACCACAGCAGAGACCCCGGGCAAGGGTCCCACCAGCCCAGAGTGGGTCCCATGGCCCAGCAAGAATGTCACAGGGAGGAAAAAAGCGCGAGAAATTGGCACAAAGAGCCAACAAGACACGGGCTGCACTTATAGCAGGCGCGGGAGTCCCAGCAAGTGCCATTCCCGGGAGTCCTGCCCTGCTTTCCATGGTGGGGCGGCCCTTGCTGCAATACCCACGTGTTTTACCCCAAAACCCCTTCTGGGGCTGCAAAGGGGGCATTCACCAAGGGAGGTGAATGGCCGAGCGGTGCGTCCCCATGAAGGGACACGGCGGCAGGGACGGGGCAGGAGGGCCCACATCCTGCATCCCGCAGCCGCCCTGCGTCCCGCACGGGCAGCATCCCGGCTGCCAAGGACAGCGAGCGCCGCCAGCGCTCCCGGGCGCCCCGCCAGCCCCGCGGGSAGGAAAGCGGATCCGCGCCGGGGCAGCCCTGCACCCGGCTACCGACACCGCTCCTCCTGTTGCAGCGCGGCCGCCGCGCGGATCGGGTCTCACCATTTGCATGCGCACGGCCGGGCACCGGCACCCGAGCCGCACGGGGGGGCCGTGCCCRGCCCCGGCACCGTCCCTGCAGCGGGACCCCCACCGGGACGCAGTGGGGGACCCGCACTGCCCACCCCACGTGCCACAACCCGCGCGCTGCCTGTGCCCGGCGTTACCTTGCTGCGCCAGGGCTGCTTGGTGCCCAGGTACCCGTCCACCCAGGGGTTGCGGTCCCGCCAGGCGCGCGCGGGCGAGCGCTGGCTCAGGTAGCGGCCGATGTCGGCTCCGCGGCGGCTGGCACGGCCGCGGAGGCGCTCGGCGGGGCGCTGCGCGTAGCCCTGCTCCGCCGTCCAGGCGTCGGGCATCTCCTGCACCCGCACGACGTGCTGCTTGGACCAGTGCTGCTTGTACATGCGGGACGCGCGCCGCAGCGAGCCCAGCCTCTGGATCTGCGGCGTCACCACCGCGTAGCGCCCCGCGCCGTCCTCCCCGGCCAACGCCTCGCCCTCGTACGGCAGCTCCGCCGGCTCCCGCCCGCGGCGCGAGGAGCCGGGCGAGCGGGAGCCGCCGAAAGGGGGGCTGCGCCGGTGTAACGGGGGGCTCCGGCCGCCCCTGGGGGAGCCCAGCGCTCCACTCTGGGGGATATCGGCCCAAATGCRGCGCGCGCCCGTGGGGCTCGGGGGCCCGCGGGTGCTTCCGTCCCGCCGTGACCCGCCGCGTGGCACCAAGGAGGGCGCTGGGGACAGGGGCCGGGGCCGGGTGGGCGGCGGGGACGGCGGGGACACCGTGGCCGCCAGCAGAGCCGCCAGGGGCTGGCCGGGCCCCGGG